ACTGTGTCTTCTTGGCAGCTTCATCCAAAGCTAGTTGGCTGTGGGAATGTGGATCAATATCTGTCCTCTGTTCTGTTCCATTGCTCTGAGTGTCTGTTTTTGTGCCAGTCTCATGTTGTTTTAGTTGCTGTAGCTTTGCTGTGACTTTGAAGTCAGTTATTATGACGTCTCCAGCATTGGTATTTTTTGCTTTTTGTTTTGCTCAAGATAACTTTGACTATTCTGGATCTTTTGTGGTTCCATATGAATTTTAGAATTTTTTTTTTCTGTTTCTGTGAAGAGAGTCATCAATTCTTTGRTGGGAATTGCATTTGATCTATTTATTTCTTTGGATAGTGTGGTCCTTTTAACAGTATTGATTCTTTGGATCTGTGAGCATGGGATATATTTCTATTTTTTGTATCCTCTATAATTTGCTTCATTGTTTTATAATTTTCATTTTAGAGATCTTTTATTTCTTTGGTTAAGTTTATTGCTAAATATTTTTGTAGTTATTGTGAATGGGATTGCTGTCTTAATTTATTTTTCATAAATTTCAGTTTTTGTAACACCATGTTTATATATTTACTTATTTTTATGGTACTGGGGATTAAATCCAGGGGTGCTCTACCACTGAGTGACAAATTTCCAGCCCTTTATTTTTATATTTTGAGACAGGGTCTCACTTAATTGCCAATGATGGGTTTGAAGTTAAGATCCTCCTGCCTCAGCCTCCCAAGTTGTTGGGATTACAGGTGTGTGCCTCTGCACCTGGCAATCAAGTTCATTATTGATGTGCAAAATGGTATTGCTTTTTGTAGGTTGATTTTGTGTCTAGCAAYTACTGAATTCATTTATAAATTTTAACAATTTTATTGATGGAATGTTTGGGTTTTCCTGTGTATCAAATCGTGTCATCTGCAAACATGGATACTTAAACTTCCTCCTTTCCAAATTGGATGCCCTTTCTTTCTTTCTCTTGCCTCATTGCTATTGCTGACTTCCAACACTGTAAGAATAGGAAAAATGGATATCTGTCTCATTTCTAATCTTAGAAGAAACACTTTTCCTCATTGTGTACGATACAGGCAAAAGGTCTTTCAAATAGTGTTTCAGGTATTTTCCTTCTATACCCAATTTCGTTTAGCATATTTATCATGAAGTATAAATGAAGTATTCTCTGTGTATWGAAAAAGACCATGTGGTTTTGTCCTTCATTCTGTTGCTGTGCTGTATCACATTTATTGATTCGTGTATATCAAACCATCTTTGCATTCTAGGGATGAATTCCACCTGATCATACCACATGATCTTTTGGATGTGCTGTTGAATTCTTTTTGCTGGTATTTTGAGAATTTTTTTCATCAGGGATATGAGTCTGTATTTTTCTTTTTTTGCTTTATCTTTTTTTCAGTTTTAGCATTATGATAATGCTGTCCTTGTAAAAAGAATTTGGCAGAATTCCTTTCAAATTAGATTTTTAGAATAGTTTTAAGACTATTTTAATTAGTTCTTGTTTAAAAATTTTATAGAATTCAGTAGTAAAGCCAGCAGGTCCTAGACTTTTTAGATGAGAGATTTTTAATTACTGCTTCATTCTTAATCTTTATTGGTCTGCTTAGATTTTTCAATTTCTTCTTGACTCAGTTTTGATAAATTGCATGTTGTTCAAAAATTTCTCCATTTTAGGTTTTCCAATTTGTAACATATAATATTCATAATAGTTTCTTTTGATCTTTTTCTGTGGTTATCAGTTACAATATCACCTCTTCATCTCTAATTTTGTTTATTTGAAATTTTTTTAGTTAATCTAGCTTTTATCATTTCAAGAAAAACCCAATTCTTTGTTTTGATCTTTTTTGCATTTTTTTATTTTGGTTTATTTATGCTCTGATTTTTATTATTTCTTTTCTTCTATTAATTGGGGGTTTTATTTGTTTTTTTCCCAACTCTTTGAGGTGCATTATTAGGTTGTTTGAGCTCTTTGTTTTTAATTTATTGCTGTAAACTTCCCTGTCAGTACTGTTTTTCCTTATCCCACAGATTTTTAATATGTTGTGTTATTTTCATTAGTTTCTGGATACTTTAAAATTCCCCTTTTCCTCAGTTATCCCTTGGTCATTTAAGAACATGTTATTCAATTTCTGTGTATTTGTGTACTTTCCATTCTTCTTGATTTGTAGTTTTATTCAAGTATAGTCTGAGAAGACACATGATGTGATTTGTCCTTTTTTAATTTTTTGAGACTTGACTAGGCCTAGCATAGGACCTGTCCTGGAGAATGTTCTATGTGCTGCTGAGAAGAACTGGTATTCTGCTGCTGTTAGACAAAGTGCTCTGTCAACGTCTGTTAGTCCATTTGCTTTACAGGTTTTGATTTAAGGTTTGCCTTATCTGAGTATAGCTACTCCTGCTTGTTTTTGGTTTCTGTTTACGTATATCATCTTTTGACAATCCTTCATTTGTAGTCTCTGTCTTGAACAGTGAAGTGAGTTTTTTTTGTAGAAAGCATACATTTGTGCCTCCCCTTTTTTAAAATTCCATTTGCCAGTTTATGTCTTTTGATTGGTGAATTTAATTCATTTACATTCAGACTTTCATTGTATGAACTTGAAAGTTTATACAAATGAAAGTATAAACTTCTTCCTGTCAGTTTGTTAATTATATTCTGCTTGCTCTGTAGAGTTTTTGTTCTTCTCTATCTCTTCTATCTTTATTTATGTGATCTGATAGTTTTCTATAATGCAGAAGTTTGGTTCTCTTTTGTCTTCTACAGAATTTTATGCATTCATGTGTTCATGATGGCAGTTATTCTTTCATTTCTAATGTAGTACGTCCTTAACTATTTCTTGTAGGTCGGGTCTGGTGGTGATTAAATCCTTCAGTTTCTGCTCTATTTCTTCTTCAGTTTTGAAGAATAGTTTTTCTGGGAATAGTATTCTTGGTTAGCACCTCCCCTCTGCCAGTATTTTAAATGTTTTATCCCACTGTATTCTGGCCTGTAAGATTCCGCTGAGGATCTGCTTTAGGTCTACTGGACCTTCCCATACACATAATTTGATGTTTTTCTCTTGATCTTTTCTTGTGCTCTGACATTTTTACTATCATGTGCATTTTGGTGAAGGTCTATTTTAGTTGAATCTAGATGGGGTCCTTTGAGCTGCTTGAATCTAGATGTCTGTATCTCTTTGAAGATTTGGAAAGTTTTTGGCTTTCCATAGCTTTCCCCTTTTCTTTACCTTATGGGATATTTGTTTGCTTAATTGTGTTCTGCAAGTCTTGCAGGCTTTCTTCATTCTTCATTTCTTTTTGTTGTGACTGGGTTAATTCATAAGACCCATCTCAAGTTCAGAAATTCTTTCTTCTGCCTGCTCTAATCCATTAGGGGAGTTCTCATGTATGTTTCATTTCATTGAAGTTGTTAGGTCCAAGACTTCTGATTGGGTTTTTTTTTTAATGATTTGTGTTAATTTGATGGTGAATTTTCCTCCTTTCTTTATTCTATCTTTATTCTCTTGCACTCTTGGATGTGACATTACTCTGCCGTTTCCCCTTACTCTGCATCCCCAAAACCAAGGCCCTTGTTGATGGTTCCAAAGTCAATTGAGCAGATATTAGGTCCTATTGTGTTTGTTTTTTTCAAATGAGAAATTTGAGAGTGGTAAGAAACTGCCCAAAGAAAAAACTGAGAATCAAATCCAAATCTGATAATGTCCAAGTTCAGGGTTCTTTTTAATATTCCATGCCCTTTAACTCCCAGAGTGGCTTGATGAAACTTTTCATGACTACAAAGCAGCCCTTGCCAGGGAAACACTAGTGAAGCTCAGCCTCATGCAAAAGACAGTGGGGTTAAAGCACAGATGTGCAGGGCATCTGAAGTCCACTCATTTGGAGCTGGTGCCTGTCTCCCCCTGGGTCGGCTACTCTGTGGTAAAGGTGTCAGAGCTGAACTTACAGCACTCGGCATTTGGGACCTAAGGCAGATGCCTCACTCCATGGCCATCTATTTGCCAARATAGTGAAAGGTACCAGCTGTCGGCATGACCTAGGGTGGCCTTCCTGCTGACACACCAGGTGTTCTCAAGGCTGCAGGGACAAAARTAGTAATGATATGGATACTGTTAATTTACTCAAAATTTATTGTCTCAGGCACCAAATTATTTAGTCTACTATTTAATCTTTACAACATTTTCATGACTTCGGTGCCATTGTCATTCCTAATGTGCATTTGGAGAAACAGGAAGGTGAAGAAGCTTGMCTGTGGCCCGGTAGTAAGTGCTGGAGGAAGGAGTGCAGCAGGGAAAGYGCCCCGGGCTGCCCTGGCCATCTGGTCCACAACCATCCCCATCCTGGGTTCCTTTTACTGCCTCAGGGTTTTGAAGATAGAGAATCCTCCTTCTCTAAATGGATCAAAGAAAAAACACTGATGTGGTCCCCAAATTCAGTGCCCCCCACAGCGTTCCATAGGTCTGATATTCTAGAAGGTACTCACACGTATCACCTTGGCACCTGCATGGCCCTGTAGAATACTCATCGCCACGTGTGTCACTCCGAGCTCTCACCTCCTGGTTGCAGTTCTTACCCTGGCGCTGAAGTTGTCCTTCTCAAGCCACAAGTGACCTCTGATCATTCATACATGGTCAGCTTTCCGTCTTCATCTCCGTTGGTATGCCTGGGATAATTTCTTATTTTAACTTTTATTCTCTTCATGTCTTAGTCCTTCTTCTAGAGAAAAAAAATTGAAACCTAATAGTGGTTTAGAGATTGTCTGATGTTATTAAAACCGTGACCATCGCGGTGACGGAAGGTTGGCTGAAGTGAGAGGACACGTGAAAGATTAAGAAAATGTGAAGAGCTGTGGACACACATGCTGTTCTTCCTTCTGAAAGAAAAATATCCTGTTGGTTAATTATCTCTTCCTTTCAGGACACCTAATGTTCCTCTCAAGGCCCGCGGCCTGGGCTCCGAGCCTGTTGGGGTGGGGTGTCCGGGCAGGGGAGTCACCTCTGCATCTCCCCCAGGTGTTCACCTTGCTGTGGATCGCCGACTGGATGGTGCACCGCTTCTGGAGGAAGGGGAAGGACCCAGACAGCTTCTCCATCCCCTACCTGACGGCGCTGGGCGACCTGCTGGGCACAGCTCTGTTAGCCCTGAGTTTCCATTTCCTGTGGCTCATCGGGGACCGAGATGGCGATGTCGGAGACTAATAAATCCTACCTGCTGCTCTCAAGTCACCCAGGAGGAGCACCCAAGATGACCACTTCTGGCTCTTTTCCAAAACTCTTACGTCACTAGTTTGACTTCTGCCAGGGTAATCTTCAGTTGGCCCTGATTCAATTAAATGGCCTTAATTTTTTTTTAAGGAATTTGTCCTGAAACCAGAATGAACAGTATTTGTGCTGCTTTTTGTAGAATAAATAATTTGACATAGACCTAGATACAAACTCAAGCTCTGAAATTAATTAAATAGGAAAGAATATATATGTGTGTGTATATATATATATATATATATTATAGAATGTTTACAATGAATAATTTTGAAACCACAGACATAGCAGAAATGTACTTTTATTACTGTTTAAGTTGTAAGGCAAAGTCAGAGGGAACAGCCCTAGCTCTGCCTCTGTCTGGCGGATGTGTTGTACTTCAAAGCATACCGTGAATCGAAGGGCACCCACCAGGCTTTTAATCATCTGAATTAYGCCCGCCTCTGTGCTAGCTGAGGATAAATTTACCAATTACCTGCTCCTAAACTGACCTAAATATGTTCTTCTGAGCATAAGATAAATTTGCTTTTACCTGCATCTGAAATGACCCTGTGCCAACACTAATTTAATTTCAACTCTGCAAGCTCTTGGCAGGCTCCCCTCTAAACAAGGAATGCTCTTGAGAGGTCTTTCGTGAGAGCAGTTGGCCATTTTGATCACTGATTTGTTGATCTTTCTCAGAAAACAGTGAAAAATGGAAGATAACTTGAGCTGCATCTGTAGACACAAGATGGCATGAGCAGTTGTGTGAGAGAGAGAGAAATGAGAGAAGCTTTTGATGAACTCCTGTGCCAGTAGTCGACCGTCAAGATCACAGTGCTCTTGAGCCTTGGGTATAGAGGTGTCCTTCAGCACAGTTTATTGAGGCTCCTGTCATTTGATCCCACACTTTGCTRCTGAATTCAATATTTGTTACCTACATTGTAATTAGTGGTTTCTTCTTATTTCAAAACGAGAGATATTATTTAATATAATCCTGATATAGATYCAGGATGGTAAGGGGTTCCTTTGCCCTTTTCGGGAGGCTCGAGGGGAAGCTGGGTTGCTCACCAAGCACTCGAGCCCCCATGCACCTGTCAGCACGGGCTTATTTCCACAGGGACCTTAGGGACACTGCTGTATTGTTCCAGTATTTTTTTAAAACTCTCAGCTATGGTCTAACCACTTAGCCAGCACCTTAGTTATTCAGTAGATGAGCATTTTTATTTCACATACAGTTTGGGCTTTAACTGCAGTGCAGTCTCTCAAGACCATTATTTAATAATTAAATTATTAAACTGCTGAGGGAATAAAAAGGCACATAACTTTGATCATCGTGGCTTAAGTTGTGAGTTAGCATTATTATATAAATAGTAGGTTGTTTAAAAATATATTGGGGAAATATTCTTGTTAAGCTCTTTAAAATAAGGGGGATGTGGTTTAGAGGTATATATTTTTGCTTATTTTTAAACTTTAATTATTCCATTCTTCTGTCTTATAATGAAGGTTTTAAGGCAGAGAACTGAACTAATTATGGAATTTCTCCCTTGGAGAGTTATGATATCATATAGTGAACATTCTTATAAAAGAAAGAATGATTAAATTTAAGTTGATGAATATTTAGCTGCAAAGATTTTTATTTTTAAAAAATCCATGGATTAATTTTTTTAAATCCATGGATAATATCTTTGATTTTATTGTAAAGCATTTGTAAATTATTTACATTTGGGCTCTATGATTCATATACAATTACATTTATCAATTAATTCTATTGATTTTTTTTTAACCTARGGAAAAAAATTGGAGAGCAGGCCACAGTTTTTAAGGTTGAGCTAACAACTTTATCTGGTGCATTCTGTATTCCAAAGCACTTTTAAAGATGGGCCGCCCAGTCCTCACAACCAGACCTGTGACCTAGGTCAGACACTGCTAAGTGACCAGCTGTCACCTCCCTGAATTCCAGGTCAGTGCACTTTCTGGGACACATCCATAGCCCTGTGCACCCCAGGAGAACCCACCTGATTAACTACAAAGAAGCCAATTGGAGAAACAAGRTTTGCCAAAGTCCAATGGAGTAGTGCACATTGTTCACATCAGACGGTGATGGTGGTGCGATGCGTCTGAGGGTGAGCACGGCTAGCTCTATCCCCCATATTCCCAAGATCAAAGAACTCAAACCACGAAAACATTTATAACAGGAGCTTCAGAATGAAGAGCAATGACTTATTTCATAGAATATCAAATTGCCACCACCCTCCCCAGAGCTTGCTGTTTGCCAGGGGTGGTGGTAATTAGGAGGACTGAACTGAGCTTGTCTCCATTTGCTTTTGTAATGCAACCTTGGTTAGACCAGCAAAATGTCTAAAAGGCATGTAATGGGGAGGGCATGAAAATGGGAAGATCAGTCACAGACTAACAGATTATAAAAGGATACAAATTCCTTTAAAAATTACTACCGTCGGGCTGGGGATGTGGCTCAAGCGGTAGCGCACTCCCCTGGCATGCGTGCGGCCCAGGTTCGATCCTCAGCACCACATACCAACAAAGATGTTGTGTCCGCCGA